ACTCAGTATGTTTATTTTTGTGTATTCAGAATTATAGAATCTTGGAGTGGGAGGAGATATTATAGCTCATCTAGCCCAGTGGATCATCCAGTATTTGATCCCCCCGTACTAGTTTCTAGGGCTGGTATGGCACATTATTACAAAGTTGGTGGCTTAAAACAGGAGAAATTGTTCATCTCACAGTTCTAGAGGCCAGAAGTCTAAAATCAAGGTATTGGCAGGGCTGCACTCCCTCCAGAGGCTCTAGGGGAGAATCCTTTCTTGTCTCTTCAAGCTTCTGGTGGCTCCAGGGGTTCCTTGGCTGATGACTGTGTAACTCCAGTCTTTACCTCCATCTTCATCTGGCCTTTTCCTCTTCTCTCTGTCTCTTATAAGGACACTTGTTATTGGATTTAGGGCCCACCCATAATCCAGGATAATCGCATCTCGAGATCCTTAATTATGTCTACAAAGACCTTTTTTCCAGTAAGGTCACCATTTATGGGTTCCAGAGACTAGAATGTGGGCATATCTTTTTGAGGATCACCATTCAACCCACTACACTTCCTGAGTATGTGTCCATTGTTTCTTTGTTGCCTAGCCTATGCTTAGCAGCCTGTAGTGGTGGGTCTTTCACTTCTTCCCAAGATCTTTTGGATTTTGAATAACTGTGGTGAAATCAATCTTCCTGTAACTTCTACCCACTAACTTTGGTTCTCCCTGCTTGAAGTCATGCAGGAGAAACCCAATCCCTTTTTCCTCTGAAGGTCCTTCATTTGTTCTTCCTGAGACTTCTATCCTCCAGGCTAAACACCTCCAGTTCCTTCAACCATTTCTCTCAAAACCATGGATTCCATCCCCCTAATTATCCAGTTTGTGCTTCTCTAAAGGACTCAGTGGCAGTAAAAAGTATATTGAATTTATAATTAGGATACCTAGTACTGAAGTCATGTTTCTTCCACTTAGCAGGTGGCCAAAGCAAGTCATTTTCTTTTAAATAGCAGTAACACTGGTCCACTCTACTTCAGTGTGTGCTTTTTATAGTTAAATGAGATTTTTACAGAAGTTCTCTGTAAACACAACCTATAACATAAGGTTCCAATTATTAATCTGTGAACTTATAAAAAATATTGATTCCCAGAACTGAATGCATTTCTGTAGGTATAGCCTGACACAGTACAAGGTAGTTGGCATGAGCATATTTCCCAATTCAGCTGTTCTTCTGTTAATACAACCTGGGATCACATTAGCTTTTTTGGTAGTCATGCCCTAATTCTTTACTCATTGAAATTGCTGTGTACTCAAAATAATAAATGCTGGAGAGGTTGTGGAGTGACTGGAACACTTACACACTGTTGGTGGGAATGTAAAATGGTACAACCACTTTGGAAATCAATTTGGTGCTTCCTTAAAAAGCTAGAAATAGAAGTACCATACAATCCAGCTGTCCTGCTCCTTGGAATATATCCTAGAGAAATAAGAGCCATCACACAAATAGATATTTGCACACCCATGTTCATTGCAGCACTGTTCACAACAGCAAAAAGATGGAAACAACCTAGGTGCCCATCAACAGATGAATGGATAAACAAATTATGGTATATTCATACAATGGAGTACTATGCAACGAGAAAGAACAACGATGAAGCCATGAAACATAACATGGAGGAATCTGGAGGACATTATGCTGAGTGAATTTAGTCAGTCACAGAAGGACAAATATTATATAAGACCATTATTATAAGAACTCAAGAAAAGGTTTAAACACAGAAGAAAACATTCTTTGATGGTGACAAGGGTGGGGAGGGAAGGTGAGGGTTACTCACTAACTAGATAGTAGACAAGAATTATTTTAGGTGAAGGGAAGGACAGCACACACTACAGGGGAGGTCAGCACAACTGGACTAAACCAAAGCTAAGAAGTTTCCTGTATACAACCAAACACTATGAGGGACAGAGTAGCAGGGGCAGGGGTCTAGGGACCATGCTTTCAGGGGACATCTAGGTCAATTGGCATAACAAAGTTTATTAATAAAATGTTCTGCATCCTACTTTGGTGAGTGGCATCTGGGGTCTTAAAAGCTAGGGAGCGGCCATCTAAGATGCATCAATTGGTCCCAAGCACCTGGAGTAAAGGAGAATGAAGAACACCAAAGACACAATAAAAGTATTAGCCCAAGAGACAGAAAGGGCCACATAAACCAGAGACTGCATCAGCCTGAGACCAGAAGAACTAGATGATGCCTGGCTACCACCAATGACTGCCCTGACAGAGAACACAACAGAGAGTCCCTGATGGAGCAGGAGAAAGGTGAGGTGCAGAACTCAAATTCCAGTAAAAAGACCAGACTTAATGGCTGACTGAGACTGGAGGAACCCCGGAAAGCGTGACCCCTGGACTCTCTATCAGCCCACAACTAAAACAGTTTCTGAGGCCAACTCGTCAGACAAAGATGAGACTGGACTGTGGGACATAAAATGATACTCGTGAAGAGTGTGCCTCCTAGCTCAAGTAGATACATGAGACTAAATGGGCAGCTTCTGTCTGGAGGTGAGATGAGAAGGCAGAGAGGGTTAGGAGCTGGTTGAATGGACACAGGAAATCGGGTGGAAAGGAGGAGTGTGCTGTCACAGTATAGGGAGAGCAATTAGGGTCACATAACAATGTATGTATAAATTTTTGTATAAGAGACTAACTTGAAATGTAAACTTTTACTTAAACTACTACAATAAACAAAAAAAAATTACTGTGTACTAAAGAGCTCCAAATCTTTTTCACAAATTATCTGTGTATTGCTTTCTATTTCACTGGTTTTCACCATGTAGAGTCAGTAAATTTTTCAAAGAAATGCATATTTGGAAATTTAATTTTGGCCATCTTAAATGCCTTTTATCTAAGAGTGTAATAATAGGAAATCTATAATCCTTCCTTCAGTTATTTATTTTAATACTCCCCTTTAGTAAGTCCTATTTCGTGATGTTAAGGACATTTTTCTGGTTGTGCTTGAATAGCCACATTCTTAACTGCCTTTTACAGTTTGCTAATTTGATTCTCCATCTATATTGAAATAAAATGCCTTTGATTTGTATCTTATGTCTTGATGGTAATAGGTTTTACCCTTTAAAATGGGCTCCATTTTTCCAGATTGCTTAATAGATCTATAAATCCATGTACTGTTGCTAAGATAAATGTGTAATAGTTACAGGCTCTTATGCTGTTCAACTTGAAGTGACCCGCTGAGAATTTGAAAGCAGTATAAAATGTGAACTCTTTTAATATTTGCTCTGTCTTCACATTGCCCTGTTTGAACCTTTGGCTCTTAACTGCTCATTAGATTTCTGTTTTAATATTACGGACACACCTGATGGCTCTTTGTATTAAGAAGTCCCAATGAAGTGGTAATAAGGTTGACATTGTGAGATCCATTTTTCAGGAATGTAGAAGCTTGATTTTCAATGTATACTTATCTCAAGATATTCTTCCAACATATGAAACAGTTTCTGTATTTATAACTTGGAAATGGAGGCAGCTATGGGTTTGGAGAGCCCTGTAGATGGGGTACATGTGTTGATTTTATGGAACAACAGCTACACATTACAGAGCTTTGGTACTCGAAAGTGCCCCCATTGTTATGTCTTTGCAATTAGGTAGTTTCTTTTGCAAGTTACCCAGTGTAAATTTGAATGATTCCAAAACACCCTGCAAAAGCCTGGTGTTGTACTTTGCTTATCCTGAATTTGCTTTGCTGTCATTTTTATGCATCTCAATTTGGGCCAGAACACATGTCCTAGTTTATTTTTTACTGCTTCAATTAAATACAAAGCTGTGTCTTCTTCATAGGTATGTGAAGCATTTGGTGTTCTTTTGGTAGAGAATAAATACAGTTCATGACCTTGCTTGCTCCCCAATGCCTGTAATTTTATAACACAACACATTTACCTTTTGGATACAATGAAACCAGACCCTCTTAAAAATTTTATATAAAGCTGTTAAGTTCTGTTTTCTTTCTTGTACTTTTCCTAGAAAACAATATCCTCCAAGTTTTACAGAATGCATCTTTTCCCCCAGGCAATTAAAAACAATGGAAAATAAGAATATCCAGTAATTGTCAGCTACGATTCATTTCAGTAGGATTTGTTTATTCTTGAGAATAATCATACACTGTAAAACTAAGGAAGATGAAGTTTTCTTCTTGACCCTATCTAAGTTGTGATTGATCTGTTTGTAGACAAGTCAGTTTCAGAGGATCAAACTTATGCTTGGTCTTCAGAATCAGGAAAAAAAAAAAAGAAAAGACTAGAATATAAGGTGTACTCTAACCTTTTCTTCTTCATTTGCAGGGATAGGGAAAGAGAAATAGTGAGGAAAACTTATTCCCTAAAATAGCTCATCATCTTTATGAAGATCCACAGATCTCATGCCTTTCTTGTTGCAGTGAGTCAGATTAAAATGGAAAGCCTACTGAGAGCTCTGTGCATGGGCATGTTGCCTTGGGGAAATAACATCCAAATAGCCACCCTAGCCAATATGAATGAATTTTGGCTCTTACTGGTCCTGTTGATTTGACTGGCCACCATAACAGCAACAGAAATCTTTGTACTGTTTTCAAGTTTGATTTGTTTTCCTTAATCTTCCTTTCACATTTAGTAAAAGTTGAGATGTTAGATCTAAGGTATTATAGGAAACATTTTCTAGATCTTAATCTTAGCGTGACAAGTTTATGAAATGTAAATAGGAAGAGTGGCCTTAACTCCTTGGGATTGGTGGGTTACTTTCTTACACATTAGTCCCTTGTTGCATGACCTGTTCAGTTCCTGTGAAAGAGGGCAGCCATTGTTCTGATACTACTATTATTATAAAGATGTTAAGATAATAGGTTACAGTGACTAACTGTAATGAAATAATTTAGTCCAGTTCTTCAGATGTTTATTCTCTAAAGAAACGTCAGCCTTTGCCAACAACTTGGAGGTTATTTTTACTAAGTTTTGGAAAATTTCTGATCTTTCTTTACTTTTCTTAGGTTTCCACTATATCCAAAAGGAGGAGAGAAGTTGCAATTTGATTACGGTGTCTATCTTCTGAACAAAAATATAGCACAGGTAAGTAACTCCACTTCACTCCTACTTCCCACATTCCACCTGCTTCCTTAGATTGCTAAGAATAACCCTTTACTGTATAAATAAGTACTGCAGTCAACCCTTTTATTTAACTAGTTGGATTAATAGTGCAAAGTTCTTTTTTGGTAACACTCTTATTCCATGCCATTATAATGACTATAGAGAAGCAATGGGTACAAACTAGAATCCTCCTGCTAACCTCAGAAGCCCTTTTCTGTGTTGTTACTTGGTGGTAGACTGTACTTGAATGTGTGGGTTTACAACATCTTGCCCCTGCAGCTTGACTGGTAACAACTTTCTTCTCACACATCTAAGTACTCCTAGGGACTTATTTTGCATTGGAAGTTGTTTATGGAGTGAAAATTTAGTGCCTTTGGCAAGTCCTAAATGGTCTCCTCACCTTATTATCCAGGGCACAAAAGAAAAGACCAAGCACATGGTCCTTCCAACTCTTCTTGGGTTTTTTGTGGCTCTCTCAACATCACGCCAGTTAGTATCCCACTTAAATAATACCTTTCCACATACCATAGAAAGAATATCAGATGCCTGAGCCTGCATTTTTCTGGAAGAAATACGCAGTATTTCTTTAGCACCCTTGGCTTTACTTCAAGGAAGTAGACATTCCATAAATTTTCTAGTTGTAAAGGAAGACTAGCTTTACTGCTTTGTTTTTATTTGGACATCCTTCTAATTGGAATATCACAAGGATGAGTACCCAAGATTTGGCTGTTATTTAAATACATTATCAGCTGTATCCCTAGACCTTTCAGTTTTATAGAAGCAATAAGATTTGTGATGCTTTTGTTTTTTATGAGCTTGTATTGCCTTTTATCTATATGAATCTAAAGACACTGAACAATTACCTTATTCATGCCCAATAGATCTAGAATTATTCTTCCATATGGTGTCATCTTTGCATTTCTTCCCCTCAGTAAACCTGTTTTAATTTTTTTAATTTGACTTTTATTAAGATTCATATAGTTTTCTGATAGTCAAATTTCTAGTTTTTCAGTCCTCAATTATTTGTTTCACAACCTCACACTCATGGCCCTCTCAACCATACTGCTTTTTATTGTTATTTCCATTGCATTTCATGTTCTTCACTCCAGGCAGGCAGCTTTGCTAACAGTCTCTGGCGCACTTCCCTGTCCATGTGCCAGTCTTCCCACAACCGATGCTTTCCCTTCCTCCATCTTTGGCAGACAAGGATTTCAGCCTAAGAAACAGGGCTGTTAATTTTGAGGCTGCCTAGCTCACACTCTGCTGATCACAGCTTTGTCATACCATGGAAAAGGCAGTGCTGACACAGAACTGGTCAGGAAGTGCCCAGACTAAGAGTCCAGTAAGGAAGAAAGAAGTCTAAGTAAATTAGAGAGTGCCACCCGTGAAGTCAGCCATAGTGGGACAGAGCTCATGAATACTCGTGGTCCATAGTCTGGGAGTCAGAATGTCATTAAGATTGGCATCACAGAATAGGACAAAATTCTGATCTGAGTTCAGAGAAGTTCTTCTCTCCTGGCCTATTTTCTGTGTCTTCCTCTGGGTATGTAAGATCTAAGTTCTGAAGGCTGTTGGAAGGTTTCAGATGAAACCTGCTCCTGATTAAGGCTGGGGCCGAAATGCCTGGATTTCCTCATAAATCCCCATTTCAACACACACACTCACATGCACACGTGCACACACACACTTATTTCTTCTCCAGACCAATAAGAATATCAAAGGATAGTATAAAGGGGCGCTAAGATAGCCTAGACTGCTTTGAGAGCAAAACCAAGCCAGAGGCTGACTGTGTGCAGTGGAAAATTTAGGGAAGTCTGCCCCTCCTCACCAGACTCTTAGCACTAGCACCCATCTGGTTGCAACTTTGGAGTACTTCCCAAGTGGCCTGAAAGGAAAGGAGCCACTGACTTTGTTCACTCTGTATTTCTTAACTCAACCAAGGCCCAACGTATGCTGAGCTGGTTTTATTCATCTGTTTAAGAAATGCATTACTTCTAGTAATTTTGTACCTCTCCAACTTTATGCACTTTTTTGAAAATTTAGAGATTTTATGTGTGTGTGTTTGATAAGTTAACTACTCTAAATCCATAGGGAGCAACTGTCTTGCCCTCTCGTGTTTTATCACAATTGTGGTGATTTTAAGGGGCCCTTGTGGCGCAGTGGTTAAGCACTTGGGTGTTGAGAAGTCGTCAGTTTGAACCCATGAGCCACTCCATGGGAGAAAGATGTGGAAGTCAGCTTCCATAAAGATCACAGCCTTGGAAACCCTATGGGGCAGTTGTACTCTGTCCTATAGGGTCACTATGAGTCTGAATCGACTCTACAGCAATGGGTTTACAGGTGGTGATTTTAAAAGGAGAGGGTAATAAACTTCTTATAAGCCGATTCTTTTAGGTTTCAAAGTTCATTCAGGAAGTTTCCTTTGAATATTTAGACAGAAACTTCTAGCAAATGTGCGACCTTTAATTTTCTTCACTTCAGCTGTCTGTTCTCTCTCTTAGTATTTCATGGGGAGTGTTTTATTTTGCCTTTGACCTCACTAACATCACTTTTTCATGTTTGATTTGTAACCATTAATTATTATGGATCCTAACCAAGCATTATATCAATAAGGTATTTCTAGCTTTTGAAGGTTTATTTTTATATGCATATATGTTGTCAAAGGGGAGTTTGTCTTCTCAGCTAGTCTCATTTGTACCCCGTCTCTAGAGATGTGAACAAATCATACTGTTAAAATGGCCCCACCTCCGTAATTTATAAGCCACGTTAGTGGAGGTGGATGAAAGCACTGGCATGTATGTGTTAAAGTGCCAAAGAAAAAGGAGTGAAGTCATTTAATACTGCATCCATAACATGGTTGAGGATTTGAATAGTCAATAGGACCTTTCATCACAACCAGAAGTAGTAGTAGAATCACTTTTTTGGTGGAGGAAATGACAGAATTTAGTAATATTTGTTACTTCAGTATTTGGGATCAGTCCAGCCCAAGTTTTGAAAGTATAAGCTTAGAAAGACAGGCCTTCAAGTAGAAATCCTCAAGTGTTGTTTGAAGAGCTGAGAGGGTTGGTAAGGCCTGCTTGCCCTCTTCCTGTCATTGCTGTCTAAAGGTGTGTGTGTGTGTGTGTGTGTGTGTGTGTGCTTCTCTGGGTACAGAAAGTGAATAAAACAAAGTGCCTTGTTTTCAGCACCATTTACTAATGTTTGTCAAGTGCCAGCCCCCTTAGCTAGAAATAGCCTTCCTCGTCGGTCAGCGTGTGACACTGTATAAATGGGCCTGTCAAAATTCAGGTGCCGTACAATTAACATTGATTTAAAAAGCCGGGTGGAGAGATTAATAGTTTGTAAAAGACTTACATTAGATCCTCACCATCACTCTGCAAAACAGAAAAGGCATATAATGTTAAATGAATTTGAAGACAGTATGGCTTTTGACATTATCACATAATCTGACAGTTTGGCAGAGATTTCCCTTACTTCCATATACTTCATCATTCTATATATTTCCTTCCTAAAAGTGCACAGAATCAAAGAACATGATATTCCCAGATAGAAAAGGGTCTTTAGATTGAAAGTTCCTTGAGTACACAGATGGCAACTATTTTGTGCATCATATTTCCATTAACAAGCACAATGCCCGAAACATTGTACATTCTCAAGGTGTTTAATAAATGAATGAATAGTGATATAGCCCCATCACACAACTTAAGAAACTGAGATCAGAAAAGTTAAGTGACATGCTTAAAATTGATTATTTTATTCGGCAAGTATTTGTTGAGCATCTACTGTATGCTGTACCCTGAGTTAGGTACAAGGGAAAGTAACTGAGAGTCTCTGGTTATTCATATTTTCTCAGAAGTGACCAAAGTGTGGCTGTCACTTAAAGAAATCAACTGATGATGAAATTCAAGATTTTTAATGAAATAAAATTAGCATTTTGGATAACTTGTGTTTACCACCATGAGATTGACAACTTCTCAATCCTTAAAGACTTATTTTGATGAGGTCAGTAGTGATATTAACAAATGTGATTTTAAAATGTTATATAATGGAATATGTTAACATTGGAAAATCTTTATAACTCAGTGATTCAATATTTTCCATATGATGCATGCGTAAATATCCTTTCAAAGTGTGAAAAAGGCCAATGGATTTTAATATAACAGAGTGTGAAAAGTTTATTGATATGGTTTCAGATTCTACATTGCTATAACCTTTAAGAAACTACTACTTGTTGATTTTGGGAGTAGTATCAAAGAAGGATATTCACAATTATCTGCAAAGGCTATTAAAATACTCGTCGCTTTCCAAACTACATATCTGTGTGAGCCTGGATTTTCTTACAAAATAACATATGGTAACAAATTGAATGCAGAAGCAGATATGAGAATCCAGCTGTCTTCTATTAAGCCCGACATTAAAGAAACTTGCAAAAATGTGAAACAATGCCACTCATCTCACTAAATTTCTCTTTTGGAAAATATACTTGTTTTTCATTATAAATATTATTTATGTTAACAACTAAGATTTTTTTCATTGTTATTTTTAAATGAATTAATAAATATTTAAAAATTTTTTTCTCAGTTTTAATTTCTAATATGGTAAACATTAATAGATATGACCCAAATAAACTAAAGCTCTTTGGGATTCTCAGCAATCTTAAGAATGTAAAGGGATCTTGAGACCAAAAAGTTTGAGAACTGCTGTCCTAGAAAATATAGCCATCCTGATTGCCTATGAAACACCTCAGTTGCGAATAGTCTGATAAACCAAGAAGCATGTGTCAGCTCCCCAAATGTGGAAACATAATGGAGTTACCAATTTGAATTCTAGTAATGCTGTGTGGTGCAAGTCATAAGGCCAGTGGCTGTCAATGGATTCTTTCCTATTGCTTTTGGCTTTTCTCAAGCCAGGCCTCTTCTCTCCTTTCCTGAAAGCTCAGGGAGTTAATAGAAATACATTGAGAATACAATTTACAAATAATAGTGA